TGTGAAGTTGAGAGTTTTGAATGAATTGGTTGTGCGAATGAATCAGTGGTTCAATCATATTGGCAGTCACTTGTTTTGTTCCTAAATTAATTTGTTTTTGAACAAATCTATTGAGAAAATGACTCAGTGATTCACTCATAGTGGCTGCATCCAAAATCGCATAATCTCTTAAAGGGATAGTTCACCAAAAAGGAAAATTCTGTCATTAATTACTCACTCTCATGTCGTTCCAAACCCGTAAGACCTTTTGTTCATCTTTGGAACACAGTACTCTCTGACCCTCCCATAGACAGCAAGGGTCCTTACACAATCAAGGTTCAGAAATGTAGCAAGGAGATCGTTAAAATAGTCCATGTGACATCAGTGGTTCAACCGTAATTTTACGAAGCTACGAGAATACTTTTTGTGTGCAAAGAAAACAAAAATAACGACTTTATTCAACAATTCGTCTCCTCTGTGTCACCCTATAGTGGCATTTTGAAGAGTATCACATACGTAAACAACGTATGCAATGTATATATGCGGCTACGCTGTTTACGTTCAGATCAAGGCGTAAACAACGTAAACAGCGCATCCACGTACAGTGCTGCTGACACAGAACTGCATACGTTGTTTACGTATGTGATACTCTCCAAAATGGCGCCAGGGTGACGCCGAGGAGACAAATTGTTGAATAAAGTCTTTATTTTGGTTTTATTTGTGCACAAAATGTAAATGAAATGATAATAAAGCATCCATTAGATGCACACTTCAGAATCTCGCCGGAAGTAGTACGTCTTCTGGGTTTAGTGATTCACTGATTTACTCATCACAATACAATCACTTATCGCCACCTACTGACATTTCAATGTAACTTGCAGAAAGAGAACCCTGTAAAATCCCCACCACTAATACACTAATTAGCGACACAAACAGTGGAAAGTCAGCTGTTCGAATGATTCTCAACCAATCAGGACCAGAACTAACTGCTATACAAATGAAAATATATGAGGTATCTTTTAACACAGTAGCAGATACTCACACGTGGCCGGTTTCATGCGCCACGACAAAAGCAGATGAGAAACCGTCCTCATGGTTGAGAGTGCAGCTCCGAACGGGATGACACATGCCTGTGACAGGAGCGTAACCTAGCAACACATAAGACCACCTGATTGAGTTTGACCTCCTCACATCTTCATCACATATACACGTTATTTTTAACACTTATTTTCCACTGGTCTGAGGCCTGAATTCAAGTTAATTTCAAGATCATTGTGGCATGTTCGTACAGATACCCATTTTTCAAACTGAGCACATGTGTACATGTTTGAAAGATCAACTGCTCGTGTTATCAACATGTTTCAATCTCTGGAGGTTGATGATGCTGTGTTAATGTGCTTGTATGTTGATTTTACCCTGCATCCCTGTGGGTCCAAACTCTTGACGTGTGAGAAAGATGGCGTGATCATGGTAATCTTTATCATTAGTGTCCTTCCTCTGCTGTTCGAAAGCCCAGCGACACACATTCTCCAGACTCTGAGAAGGATTGCCCAGCTCAATGAGGTTCATGGACTGAAAGCATACATGAAAGGACGTTACACTCTACATCTACATTACACTCTACAAGCTACATTTTGATTTCGCTACTGGCATCTGGTAAAGGTATGAATCAATTCCAAATATCTAAATTAAGTTATGAGGTTAATACAAACTGCTAAAGAAATAGTTCACCATTTAACATTTTATAAATTTTTGACAAAATTTATTATAAAATGTTGTTCTTTTGCACCCATAAATGTGTTATATGACTTCAGAGGACCTGGAATACAGCACATTGATGGTAAGGATGAGTTTTATGATGCTTTGGCATCTTTTTTTGGAGCTTACAATAATGGAAAACAGCAAGTAGTATTTCAAAGCTTTTTTATGTGTTACGCTAAAAAAAAAAAA